TGGGTGGGTTATTGGTCTCCTGGATTTTTCCCATCTTAACATCCATCTCCTTGGTGTAACACTCATACTCCCAATGCCCCAGTTTTTGACAATAATGACAAGTCACAGGGTTTCCCTCACAGTCCTTCCCTGGGTGATTTTTCTCACATCTCTTACAAAAATAACTTCTCTTAGGCCTGGTGTTATTTCCATTCCCATGGTTGTTATTTCCCTGTCCATTAGCTCCCTTTCCAAAGTTTCCCCTATTGTCCCTCCTGTTGAATTGCACATGTCCCCCATAACTCTCCCCAATCCTAGACCTCTTATCAACTCCATATGAACCCCCATCACTCTTCATTTTCCCTCCAGTTGAGTTCTCTAACTCTCTCCCTTGGATCCCATATAGGTGGGCAGCTCTCCCATAGACTTCATCTAGTGTTTCAAAGGTTACCCCTCCCAACTTCCCCTGAAGACTTAGGGTCAAACCTTCTCGAACCTTTGGGCTTTCAAATCCTCCGTGGGTACTACCTCAGGTGCAAACCACAACAACTCAATAAATTTATTATAATATTCATTAATGGTCATATTCCCCATCCTCAGATTGGTAAACTCCATGCATTTCTGCTTCTTCAGGTAGGCGGGATAAAACTTGTCTCTTATAACCTTCTTCAATTATTTCCACCCAAAGTTAGGGGTTTCTAAAAGCCTAGTCCGGTTTTGGCTCCACCATAGGTCAACTTCTTCCCTCAAGTAATAAACAGCATTATTAACCTTCAATTCTTCAGGACAGTTAATGGCATCAAACAACTTGTCAAATTCCCTTATCCAATTCTCCAAACTAGCAGGATCCTCCTTCCCAAGGTAAGTGGGTGGTTTTGCAGCTGCTACCCTCTTAAAAAATTCTCCAAATTGATCTAAGTCGTTGCTACGATTCCCCTGACTCACCAGCTGGCTCATGCTTTGAGCAATGGTAGTTATCTTCCTAAGAGTAGAGCTCATTTTGGAACCAGTGCGTCTACTATTTCCGGCTCTTAGAGACATCCTAAATAACTTAAAATAACAAATACACATTTATTATATAAGAAAATTTCATAAAACTCTTATTAAAGATTGAAACTCCATATTTAGCCACATAGGCTTATTAAAATAATTAATTCATCTTGTCACTACAAATTCATAAGGGCCACTAGTTGGCTTGCAAAACAAAACAATTTGCTATTAATGGAAAAAATCAATCAATTATTATTCTGAAGTTCTACTCTTGGTCTTAGCTTGCTGGATCATCTTTCTGGCCACGTCACCTGTGTTTCCTGTGGATAGCTGAGGGGAATCATGTTCTAAAGGTTTAGCCATGTGGGTTGGAATTTGGTTACATTCAAGCAAGAAGGTAGGATAAAATTCACTGTAAGTTGGGCTACGACACGAGCCATAGCTAGAGTTACGGTTTGGGCTAACATAGGGGCTAGGGTTATGGTTTGTACTGTGTCTTGGACTAGATACTCGACCTCTTAGGACAAGGGGTTCAGGAGAATGAGGTAGGGATTCAAAGTCATTTGGGTGAGGGATTTCTAAGTCATCGGATGATGTATAGTCAAGATGCAAATGTGAAGGTGGTAAGGGTGGCATATCATAGTTTAGATTATTTAACTTTTGGACTTCTTGAGGTGTAAGACGAAGTGGAATTTCAGCAACTATTAGTCTTGGGATTCGGCTCCAGTCAACTTCGGCGAAATATAGGTCTGCTTTAAAATTGGTTAAGGTTCCTAGCCATTTTCCTTCATGCACATAGGCTTCAATATTCCACAACCCATTAGGTTTAATTAAATTTCTATACTTTTGGATTACTGTATTATATTTAGGTGTGTTGGGTAAGTGAACTAAGGCCAGTAGGATGATCCATGGTTCTTCGATCATAAATTTCATATTCCTGTGTCTTTTTATATCAGTAGCATGCCAAACAATGTCTGTTATAAAGTCACGCACAGATATAGCATCCGATTTTACTAGCCTTTGATCAAAGAAATGTCTTCTAACAGTTTCCATCATTTGTGATAACACAAACTATTTAAGTAAGCAATTCAAATTTCCTCAAGGATAAATCCAAAATGATTACCAATGGAACCAAAATTCCATAACCACACAAATAACTAGACGACCCTAATTATACTTAGACTAATGCACATTAGGTGTTTACAAAATCAAATAGTTTCTTCATTTTGTTTTCGAAAATGATAATGTACTCGATTCTTGATATTGGACGGTTCGAGCCCGCGTCTCCCAGGAAAGTTACCTATAGCGTCGAGGCGAGCCTTTCCTAGACAGAGAGTAGTACCCATTATAGGCCTCCGAAGAGAACCCGAGCATCCTTTTCTCAATCATATTTCCAAATAAGAAAATAGTTTTAATAGAAAATAATTTTACTTCAAAGAATGCGAAACTCTATCTATCCTATATGTCCATCTTAAGTCTACCCATAAGTTTTATTTCTCAATTTTAATCTTTCTTAGACCCGGAAATCTGATACCACTTTGTAACATCCCCAAATCTCCCTCTACGTAATTACTATATTTATACTTATACAAATACCGTAGAAGTAGACTTGGACGTATTACCGCCACGTGAAAACGTAAGGCTTACTTAATTACTCAAATTGCAGCGGAAAAATAACTAACTTTTATTAATAATAATATGAGTAACCATAATAACTGTTTCAAAATAATCTAATAAAAACTCCACACATAAGTAAAATCAACTCCTAACTATGTGATCCCAGTCCCGACTCTAGTATGCGCACGAACATCTCCACACCTGAAATCAAGACTGCTTACCAAAAATGGCAAACAGGGCGAACCAAAACAAAAAGGAAAATAGATTAGCAAAAACGCTAAGTACGTATAAGTGCAAGGCATGTAAAATACTTTTAGTAGTCAAACATGCTTTCGAAATAACCATTTGACTTGTCACAAGTCACATTCAAAATTAGACTTTCTAAAATTAAACCCTCCAAAGGTAGTAATGATCATCATTAAAAACTTTCCAATTTAAAAAAAATATAATTCCAAACCAATTTTCCTCACCTAAGTGTGCACGCCCCCCAAGCAAGTTATACTATACTCGAGGAAAGACCAGATCATACAAAGTTCATGGTCTTATTTAACCAGTCCCGGGTAGAGGGACAATTGAAATATCAAATACTCAGGCTCATAATGAGCTGCAATTTAATTGAATCAAGTGATTTATAAATCAAACAACTTTTATTAAATCGATCAACACTTTTAAAGATCAAACCTTCAAATCATAAAATTATATACTTTAACTCGTCATGAAAATTGTTAACTTAAATATTCATACGCAACATTTATTCAAACAATCATTAAAACAAACATTATATATGCAAAACACGCATTCAAAAATTGTATCAAGGACCTAGCCACCTATACGTACCTTGATCACGAGGATAATAAGGTACAATCACTAAACTTGACCACGGTCAAGGGATTCCTCCTACACAATTAAAATAACCTTAATTAATATAAGGTTAACAAAATAAACACAAAACTATAAACACCTTTCTACTTGTGCATGAACTACCTAAATATTAACCTTGTTTATTTTCAAACCACAAAATGTGTTAGTATTAAAATAGAGCTACTAGTATTAAGGTTGCAACATCAGAAGTACATGAGCCTTCCTTAAAATTATGACACTAATATAATAGTATAAGTTAATAATAATCATAATAATCATTGTATTTTGTAAGCTTGTGGCAAGGAAAAAGGGGGTGAAAGCATGAAGTGCTACTGACCTTTTAGCAGCAAATTACAACAACAAGCCACGACAATAGTTGGGTAGCAATTGGTGGCAGAACAAAGTAGCAGCAGTGGTGTTTGTAGGTGGCGGTCGGCAGAGGTGGTTGTTCGGCGGCAACAAGGAGGAAAGAAAGAACAAGAAGTGAAGGAAAAATGTGTATCTTTGGGTGAGTAAGAGAGGCAATTTCTGATTTTTTTTTTTTTGAGTAATTGAGGAGGGTTGTGGGTCTATATATAGTCTTTAGAGAGTGGAAAAGATAAAGTTGAATAAGATAAATTTTAGGGTTTATTAAAGTACTTGGATCAAATTGAGTCTAGGTTAGTAGTTGGATTAGAAGATGAGAAGAAACTAGGATAAACACATATATAGTTGGAAGTATGAAGATAGGAAGCAAAATGGATAATGAAGAAGAAGGCTAGATGTTAATAAAATCCTAAAATTATCAAATTAAAGCCATGGTTTAGGTAACTTCACGTCAATCTTTTCTTTTCTCTTTTTTTTTTTGTAAGTAAAAATGAAATTCATAAATAATAAATATAATAATTGAATTTGATGATTAAATCATGTTATAATATAATATCAAAACTAATATTAGTTACAATTCATGAGATAATAATTAAGCTAAGGTTGTTAAGTATTATTAAGGTAAAATCCGGAAAAATAATTATTTTCTTAAAAAAATAGCGTACAACGTTAACTAACAAATTATGGACCGACCAAGATTATAATTTATTCAATTAGAGAAATAATTATAGAAATAATTAAGAAAATATTTCCAAAAAAATTAAGGGTATTACAATGAGTCGCTAGAGTTATTTGCGGTGGAGGTGTTCGAGTTACTAGCGGTGGAGTTGTTGGAACTTAGAGCTGCCTTTTGGGAGAGATCAGAGAGAATCTGATAGGTGTGTGAGTTTTTGGGTTTGGGGGGTTTGGTAGAGTTAATGTTTGAGTCTAATTTAGATTTTAGTGGGTTGGGCATGAAGAGTTGCAATTTACAAATATATATTTAAAAAAAACGGGTAAACGGACCTGGATGCGGATATTTAGGTCTGACCTGTATTCAGATTCGTTTTTTGCTACAGGATCCGTATCTGACCCGGATCCGTCGAGTCCAATTTTACAAGATCCATATCCATGAAAACGGATATGGATCCACGGATCCTGGTCAGATACGGATCCATTGCCATCCCTAGTTGGGGGTGCGATGGGAAAGGGTTGCTGGCAGAAGTGGGATGGGGAAGTGGTGTCGGCCGGAGTGGTATGGGGAAGGGTCTGCCGGCAGTTGGGGATAGGGCCGCCAGTATTGAGACTAGTGGCTGGGTTTAAGTTTTTTTTAAAAAATAATTTAAAATTTTTTAACCAATAGACTAGTGACACGTGTACGTAGTAGGTCCCATTAACGAATTCTATCCAAAAATTCGTTAAGTGGTGGTGAAATCTTTTTTTTTTTAGTTTATTTGTGGTGTTATAATAAAAGTTTTAGATTTTGTGTCGTTATAATCAAATTTTTAATTATTTTGTGGTGCTAACATGTTGCACTTCTATTGTCATCCTCACTCTGATCTGATGACTTACCATAAACCTCTAAATAAGGACACATTGTGACCAATTTTTCACCATAAAGAAAAAATCATTATCAATTTTTTAAAAAATGGTGGAATCGAGTACCAAGAAGTGCGGAAGACTATAGGAGCTAAATAGACTTATGTGGGGTCAATTGACAAACTTGATTATTCCTCACCCCTTAAAAACTTGATTATTCCCACATGCACCTTATGAACAAAGCCCATGCATGTGAATCACATGTGTGAGACCATGTGAACTTCACATGCATGGAATTTTTTCCCTTTTTTCTTTTTTCCGTTTTTCTTTTTCTGTTGCTGCTATTCTGAGGTGGCAATGTCTAACTACTATGCTGAGGTGGCATGGAGTGCAAGCCTTGTGAAGGACATGTGTGATGCTGTCTACCTTTCTTCTTTTTTTTTTCCTTTTTTTTTACGAAATTGATGCTGTCTGCTTTTCCCTTTTTGAGTTTCCTGGCGAGTCAGTTGTCTCCTTCATCATTTATTCTTTGATGTTTATGGAGGCTACACTTTCATCTTTGGATTAATCGCCCAATTTTTTTCCTTTCCATCTTTCCCTTCTCTTTATATGATGATGCTTACATATCATTGTATATCAATCTTTGGTTTTGTTTTGCTGGCAGCTAAATTTATGTGTTGCCAACAATTGCTTCTTGATGTTCTGCTTTTGAAAAAGCAACACCACATCATATCATCAATGGCTACAAAATGTCAAAACACCTTCCAAATTATCATGAAAAGGTATGTTTTAAGGGGCATGGATATGTTACTGTATGTTTGCATTTTATACACTGATATGTTACTATGTTATTGCAATGCCATTATTTGTGCAGGCTGGTGTTAAGGTTTTGTTTACCATTTTCTGGCTGGTGTTGGGGTCCTGTTTGCCATCTTCTGCTCAGAATTACTAGTATGGTTTTTATGGTTTTTTTTGGTATTTTCTTTGTTCTATTATTGCTTATATATCTCATTATGTTTTTGGTATGTGACACATGTTGGAATTTACTATTGTGTTTTGTTTAGATTGCGTTGTTAATGTAGCTTATAATCTTATTGTGGATTTATTTGGTTCATTGTGTTCTTGGTATATGATACATGTTAGGATTTATTATTTTATTTTTTTAGCTTAAGGCATTAATGTGGATGTGTGATGCCAAATTCTGTTTCACTTAAGGTTAATGCCTGTTAAAGTGTGTTCCCTTTTTTTTGGAGGGGGGTGTTTTATTGTTAGGCTCTCTGGTGTGTGATGAATATAGCTAGAATATTGACCTTGTACTTTTAGTGTATGTGTATGATATTTTATTTGCTTTATTTTGGGAGGGTTTTGCCTGTGTTAGTTTAGTATTGGATTGTTTACAATGTTTTTTTATAATTTTTTATTTAGGTTGGTTATGTTCTAGAATTAGGGAATATAGGGGAAGTTAATTGTTTCATCCGTTGGCCATGCACACAGATCATGGAGCTAGAACTTCGCAAAATTTCGATTTCTTACTGTAGCTTGTTAAAGCAGGTAATGGATCACCTGTAGTTTCCACCACCTGTCTATGAATTAGTAGACATTACTAAGAATCATGTGAAGTTGCATGTGGAAACAACATACCTTGGATTTTCACACACCTATACTTTTGATGGTGGTAAGAGTGAGAAGTTGGAGGCTTCCTCTGAAAAGGTAGCAGAGGATGCTATTCGACACTTGAGGACAGAGTTTGACCTCTGTATTCATGATTGGACGAGCACTAAGATTTGGATGTATAAGCGTTGTGAGTTGTTGTTCCAGCTGAAACATGATGCTTTGGAGTCTAAGGAACGTGTGCTGCATAAACACCCTATTAACTAGCTTAGTGCTTTCCCTGAGAAAACAGGTGCTAAGGATGTCTTTATTAACTACATGGATGTGCTGCATGTGCTAACTGTACAGACGCGTACGCGTGCGCGAGTCTCAACTATTGAGTCCTCTGAGCTTGCTCTACAGGGATATGTGGCCAGGCTAACGGTGTATTGTCCTAGAGACACTGTTAACATGGAGTGTATAATCAGTGATGTATGCATTGGTGAGGCAGCTGCTAAGCAAAATGCGGCTATGAAGGCTGTGACTTTCCTTCAGTGCAAATACAGGCTAGAAATAATTGACCCTAACTATGGTTAAGAAAAATATGCTGAGATTAAGTGTTCTTTAGCACGGGAGAGCTACATGTCTTCTTAAGAACGTGTTCTGGGTGTGTAGGGAACACTTCACTTGACACCTTTCTTCGACGATCATGACTGCAGCACACCTAGATCCCTCTGTAACAAAATCCCAAGTGCAAGCCTTCCACCTAATACTCCTCGTAAGCGTAGAGCTCGTCCTACTATCAAGAGGGCAGGTGCTGCTAATCAGCTAGCTGCAATTAACTTTGTTAAGGTTCCATCTAATTTGGAGGATGTGTTTAAGCATGCCAAAGCCACTTAGTTATAAGGCAATTCCATAGACATGGGGAGGGGGTCAAATTTTATAGTCTGTGTAGAATGCTAGCATATTTAGTACCGTCCTTTTGTAAACCTAAGAGCTATAATGCTCAGTAGAATTTGTGATGATGTGCTTGCTGTATTGTGAATCCTGTTGCCATGTATTTTTCTTTATCTTAGGCTTTATCTATGTAACTGCTACTTATGATGTTGCCTTTTTATGAGCAATGAAATCTATTAATTTACAATTATTCATCTAATTTCATCATTAGTGTAGCTACTTTCATTTATATGTTGTTAGCTTTATTATTTGTAGTGTCAAAAATGAAATTTGGCAATTTATCATATGTTTATGTGGTTACTGATTCCATATGGCAGGATTTTACTTTCTCCTTAATTCTATCGGTGCTAGCCAACTATGGGTATTGTCTTTCATCCTTCTAACCTATTATATTGTTCTTGATTGTGTGTGCTAGCATTTTTACCTTATATATCATAGGCTATCTTTCCATGCTACAGACTTTCTTGATTACCCTTGGTCTTCTAATACTAAAACTCGAACAAGCAAACGCGTACGGGCAATCACTAGGGAACCCGAAAAAAAAAAACCGAGGAAGCCTAAACTTATAGGGCCAGGTTGTGTATTATTCAGTTTCATATTTTTGATTTCCTTGTTATATATGTTGGCCAAATTATAAACTAAGACTTGCTTATAATATGTTGTTGGAGAAGCTTGGGATGTTGGTCAGCAAATGCCAACAGCTCCTTTAGAATTGGCAGCTCCTTATTTCTGTGACAAATGCTTCGCAAAAAAATTTACTTATAAATCTCCTAATTTTTGTTATAGTGGTGGAGAGTGTGTAATTGTTTATAATCATCTTCCTCCTGGGATTATTAGACTATTCACTTCAAAAGATGAAATTGTTGAACACTTTCAAACATATGCACGTTTGTATAACAACCTGTTCGCTTTCAGCTCCCTGGGGTGCATTGGAATCATAATAAAAAAAAAGACATATATGCTTTCAAATTACATGAGCAACTATACCATTTTGTCCCTAACTTGTTACCTGATGGCAAACAGCCACAGTTCCTTCAGCTTTACTTCTATGATTCTCAGCATTAGGCTAAGAATCGACTTGATGACCTGTTTCCAGAGCTCCAAGCGGATGTTATTGCAATTCTGATGGAAATTATGTCACATAATCCATACGCTAAATTTTTAAAATCTCTGAGGAATATTCCAGTCTCAGCTGAAACTATGATTACTTTAAACAAAGACCCTACTTTGGATCAGCGGGTGTACAACGCTCCTACTTCTGATAAGGTGGCTGCTATATGGGTTGATTCCAGTGTATCCCATCAACAAAATAGCCCTCACATCACATTGTATGGGAATTCTGATCAGGGCTATCGTATAATGCATTACTATGGCTGCTATGACCCTCTGTAGTACCCTTTATTATTCCCTCATGGGGATTGTGGTTGGCACCATGGCCTTCTAAAGATGTCTTCCTGTGGGCAGACTCATAATCAAAGCTTTTTAGGCAATGTCGTTGCAGATGGGGATGATGATGTTGATGCGTCTTCCTTGCTGCAAGAAGATGATCCATGAAAGATCTTACTATTCTATTACATAGTTAACATACATGCATTACTAATACATTCTCTACACAATTTGAATGGTTGTTATAGTTAATGTTTATATGCATGTTGCTGTCTCAGCTGTTGCTAATGGAAAACGGGGTAGGTTTATTCTCCTAGGGAGTATTATGCCTATCGTTTTCAAATATGGATTGGCAATTACCTGTTAAGAGCTGGACGGCTGTTTTTGCAGTTCATTGTGGATATGTATGTGAAGATTGAAAATACGCTCTTGGATTTTTTTTCGGAAAAACCAGAAAAAAAAATTAGAGTTGAATTGTATCAAGGTATTGTTGATACATTTGATGGTGGGGAAACAGATGCTTCTAATGTTGGTCAATCAGTTATATTGCCCCCCACGTTCCTTGGATGCCCTCGAGATTTGAGCAGGAGGTACCTCAATGCAATTACTCTTATTCAAAGGTTTGGCAAGCCTGACCTCTTTGTCACTATGACTAGCAATCCCAACTGGCCAGAAATAAAAGCAGAACTTGATCCTGGCGAAAAAGCTCAAGACCGGCCTGATTTAATTGCGTGTGTTTTCAGGGCAAAACTTATTGCGTTGAAAAGAAAATTATGGATGAAAATGTCTTTGGTGAAGTGGCAGCTTTCATTTATGTTGTGGAGTTTCGCATGTTCATATGCTGATCATTCTGAAACCAAGATACAAAATTTAGGAACCAGCCTTGAACGACAAGTTCACTTGTGCTGAGATTCCTAGCAGTGACAACCCTTATTTGCGTAAGATTGTTCTTCGCCATATGATGCGTGGCCCTTGTGGCAAGGAAGATCCTAGCTGTTCTTGCATGAACAAGAAGGGGTGGGAAGGAAAATGTAAATATGGCTACCCAAAGGCATTCAATGATACAACCACATACAATTATAGTGGCTACCCTACTTACCGTAGGCGTGACACAGGTGAGTCTATTCGGATCAGGGGAAGAAAGCTAGACAACCAATGGATGATCCCCTACAATCCGTATTTATCATCCCCACAATTCAGGTTGTAAAGTATTTGTATAAATATGTTTATATAGGGCATGACAGATGTTCATTTAATATAACAAAAATCGGTGTAAGGCTACCTGTTAATGAAATTGAACAATTTCATTCAGGCCGTTGGGTGTCTCCTTGTGAAGATGCTTGGCGGATCTTTTCATTTGATCTTTATGAAATGATCCCGCTTGTACTATTGCTACAGGTGCACTTGCCAAACCAACACTCCGTTAGGTTTAATGCTTCTGACCAGCTAGAGGATGTAATTGTTGACAGTAGAAAGGCCAGAACGTCGTTAATAGAATTTTTCAAAATGAATGCTGCATTTCCAAACAAACCTAAATTATTGTATTCTGAATTTTCTGAACATTTTGTGTGGAAGCCTTCTTCTAAGACATGGAAAGAACGTTCTCTTGGTGGTGTCGTCAGCAGATTAGCCTTCGTTTCCCCATCTAAAGGGGAGAGGTATTTTCTCCGTCTTCTCTTAACACATGTACGGGGTCCTACATCATTTGAAAACATGCGTACTGTTAATGGGCTTCTCTGCGCTACATTCCAAGAAGCTGCTATAAAGTTGGGTCTGCTTAGTGAAGATGATGCAGTGGAAAAGTGTGTGGTTGAAGATGCTACTACACAGATGCCACAAGCACTACGAAGATTTTTTGCAACACTACTTATTTTTGGTAACCCACGTGACCCTTTAGCATTGTGGCATAAATATTACGATGCTTTTTCTAAAGACTACAACCATTCATTTAGAGGTGAAGAACTAAAGGTGAAAGCAATAACAATTCGTGATGTGGAGCGATATTTGGAAGAGATGGGAAAGACATTACAAGAATTTGGGTTGGAGTCTTTAGTCAGCTCTTTAGATAAAGGGCTTACCCGGACTAAAGATATTGCAAATGCATTAGACGCACCCATTCCTGGCGAGTATATTGAAGCAATTTCTACATTAAATAGCATGCAACATGAAGCTTTCAATGCAATTATGAGCAAGATCAACAGTGGAGAACCAGGAGCCTTCTTTATTGATGGCCCTGGGGGCATAGGTAAAACTTACCTTTACTATGCTTTTTATGCTTCTGTTAGGCAGATGGGCAAGATTGTGCTTCCTACAGTAACATTAGAAATTGTTGCATCAAATATGATCACAGGTCGAACAACTCATTCACGGTTTAAGCTACCTCTAGATCACTCTGTGTCAATAGCTTGCAATGTTTCTAAGAAAGTGGACTTGCAGCCTTATTAAGAGCGAGCACTCTGATCATTTGGGATGAGGCTTCAATGGCTCTAAGAGAAAACATTGAATCCCTTGACCTGTTGCTTAGAGATCTATGTGAGAAAGACCAACCATTTGGTGGTAAAGTCGTCGTCTTTGGAGGAGATTTACGACAAGTTTTGCCTGTTGTACCTAAAAAATCCCAAAAGGAAGATGTAGCAGCAAGTGTAGTTTCCTCTCATCTGTGGAGCAGCTTTACGCATATTAGACTAAATGAGAACATGCGTGCACGTATAGACCCACTGTTCTCTGAGTTCTTGCTTGCTCTTGGGAATGGCCAACTACAAGAAACAAAAAAAAGTACCATCCAACTTCCTCATAAGCTCCTCATCCCATTTGAAGAAGAAGGTGTTTCCTTGTCACAGCTTATTAAAGAGGTTTTCCCGGAACTGTCAGCAGGTCACTTTAGCCCAGAAATCTTCACTGATCGTGCTATATTAACACCTCTTAATGATGACATCGATGAAATAAATAGTCTCCTTATAGACAATCATCCTGGTGAAGCACTAGTATATAATAGCTTTGATTCTTTACTTGATGATAATTGCAACATCTACACAACTGAATTTTTAAATACCTTATGCCTTGGAGAAATGAGCCCACACTTTTTGGTGCTGAAACAGAATTGCCATGTGATTTTGCTTCGGAACATAGCCCCAGCTTCATGCCTATGCAATTGAACTCGACTAATCTGCAAAGCATTCTACCCAAATGTTATCCTATGTATGATTACAACAGGCCGTCATTTAGGTGAGATGGTCTTTCTTCCACGTGCTAACCTAAGGCCTTTCTCTTTCAGCCATTTTCCATTCAAGTTTGAACGGATACAATTCCCAATTAAGCTGAGCTTTTCTATGACCATAAACAAAGCTCAAGGCTAAACTCTAAATCAAGTTGGGATTTATTTACGCCTTCCTTGCTTTTCACACAGCCAGCTTTATGTTGGGCTATCTAGAGCGCGGAAATCAAGTAAAGTAAGAGTGTTAAACAAGCTTGCTAAGGAAAACCAAGACACAGATGGTGTAAGGAATGTTGTATTTTTTTATATACTATATAAAGCTGGAATCATATCTGAAAGATCTCCATAGGTCAGTTTTCCAGGAAGATTTTTTACCATCCATGATTAAAATGCACTTATACTTAGCAGCTACATAAAGCATAACACTTGTCTACGCAAATGCAGGCTTTAACATTTGGGTTATAAGTTGATGCTGCATCATTACAGCAATATAGTGCCAACAATAGTTCAGCAAGGTGAGATTTAAAAACTCTCTTAATTAACAGCTTCTATGTACATTTACTTAAAAGTAACTTAATGTCACTTTGCTTCTAATGCAGGTTTTTCTTCTATTGGGCAACCTGGATATATTTCCTCTCTCAACCTCGTGCAAATTCTGCAGTGCCATTACCATATGTACTTAATATCAAATATTTAAAGGAAGATTGCAAGAAGATATATTGGCAGAATCAAAGATCAGTTTTATTTGCCTATTCAGAGCTACTTATAAAGTCCATTTTGATTGCCTATAAAGGATTGTGTTTTTAGTTTTAAGGTTGGGATTATTGATTGCTCTGTGTTGCATATTATATTAGAAACTTGAACATGAGAAGTTAGTTAATCAATAAACTCAGATAACATTAACAAACAGGCCTCCAATAAGCAAAGCTCTTCTGTTTCCAAAATGAATAGAGATATTGTTAATGAGGACATTATAAGCAGTGTATACAACATGCAGTCCATCCTAAGCAAAAAAATTTTATAGCCCATTAAAACAGCCTATATTATATTGCAAAGATGGAATTTATTACATATACAAGAAGATATACAATTTGCTTCATTAAACAAAACAAAGGTTGTAACAAAAAGAAGAAATTCCAGCTCCCAATGTTCAATAACAAAACAGCTTTCATTGGTTCTTAAATCACAAAAAAAAAAAAAAAAAAGTTATGCTTACAGATTCTGCCAAAAAAAACACAACTTATCACAATCTTATTTATAAATTATAAAACTGTAATAGGAAGTAAGCAGATGATAGCAAACAATAATTGCTTATCTTAATGCACATAAGTTTAGTTGCTAGCAATTAATGCTTAGATCACTAGAATAGATATGTTTATACCTGTTACAAGAAAAAGCACAGTCAAATCGTCCCAATTATCTTGTTTAACCTATAATTATCACTTCCCTAAGCCTACAAAAAATAGGGTCGGTGTTTTACCTGCTGGTTAATAGCCATTGCTTGGCTATATATTTGGGTATACAAAGAACTCTCTCACTACTCTTATCTGCATTCTCTGGGAAATAGAAGAATTACTAAGGAGCTCCATTGAAGGTACTTCTTTACATTTTCGTTTACAATTTAATGCTTACATGAATTCTTTTATTATGCTAGCATGAGTTTAGTATAACATAGTAATAACTTACATGTTTCTAGCATTGCATTTATGAATCATATGTTTAATTATATACCACATTTATACATGTTATGCATACATTCATAAATAAAGCAATATAAGTCTATAACTACATAGAATAGATAAGCACATAAAAAATAGGAAGTAGAAAAAAAATTTGAAGACAGTTTAGACATACTTAACCCTTTTTATATATATATATAATTTGAAGACAGTCATACTTAACTAATTAGCATGGTTTTGTGTTGCAATATTTCTATCTAAATTAAAGTACTTATGTAGACCATAGTACACAACCTGCAAATGTATTTAATCCTACTTAATATGTAATCTTTTGAACTTATGCCCTGCTACTCATATTAAAAGTATTAATCCTGTTTAATATGTGTTTTTAGAGTATTCTTAGAGTTAATTAGCTAAGACTTAATATCATCTATTATTGTTAGTTAAATATAAACAAAAAGTACTTGCTTAAAATGTTAATTTATGTAATCTCCATATCTTATGCTATAGTTCCCTGCATAAGGATTAGAAGTAACACTGACTGTGAACTTTGAAAAATTTTGGTTATTCTTGTTTAACTACAAGCCTAAGAAAATAATATATGCAATACAATGTTTAGACGAAGCCTGAATATACCTCCATTGGCAATCTGACTCCACAAACTAAGGCATACAAAGTTCGAGCAAGGGTAATTGAAAAGTCAAAACCAAAGTTATCTCCTAACAAAACTCTGTACCAATGGCTGAAACTAGAGGACAATGATGTTTGTTGGCTAATACTGCTATTTTCTTTTGGTTAGAATTCAGTACAGGTTATTTATTAGGAAAATTAAACTGGATTTATTTATTTATGTTATTCTTATTGCTTAAGGGAAATCGCATTCGTGGAACTCTATTTGAGAATGAAGTTAGAGCTTCAAGGGAATTCTTGAGCTAGGCAGGGAGTATGAAATTTCAAATGCTCTACTAAGAGATGTTAATGAGAAATGGAAAACAAGGAAGTTGACTGCCAAATGACCTTTGGAGGGAACACAACTATCCATCCCCTTCAAGCTGAAGCAGGACCGTGCTTCCTAAGTACATTCCAATTACTTCTATTCCGCGCAAGCTCTAAGGGTAAATGCTTTGGTATTTACTTAACTACTTCTGCTTAATACAATTACTTTTAAGCTAGAGTGCCAACAAAAAGCTTACTTTATTTTTCTTCCTGCAGATGTCATTAGAGTAATCCTATACATGGAGCAGGTCAGGCAGGTCAAAACTGCATCAGGGGCTATAATAGATGTTTGTGAGGTTGTGATCGATGATGACATGTATATTCTTACACATAGTTATCTAATAATTAATGAAAGCTAGAATCATGATAGACAATCAAGCTTACACTACATTATTGAACAACCTATTCTTTTGAGCATGTTTTTTTTTTTGCTCCTTTGGATCCAAAACCTATATTCTTTTGTTAACTTTTCTAAAATTTTCAATTCAATTTTTACACATAGGTATATCTGCTTATATAATTTTTACATGCAAATATTATTAAAGTGTGGATTTGGAAATCAAAATAAATTTACAAGAATCTCATGCAAATGTGGTTTTCACTGTGACTGTTAAACCGTTAGATTTAATTTATACTCAAATTTTGTTGCCTCATAAGCCCCTAATTTGATTAACATGCAGTATATATCAACCTCAAATACTCTCTCTTTGGGGAGGGCTTGCTACTAAAGGCTGCGAAAAATTAGCTGATTGGGCATCAAGTCCACTCATTGTTGGTTTTATCTACATGCGCCCAACATGTCACAAAGGTAAGAGGTTCTACTGCACTTATATTTTTTTAGGTGGCACTAATACGCTCCTACGCTAACACGTTAGAAAATTTCTGAAACCACAGGCTTCTCACTAGCATCCTCTATGTCTACATCAGTGATACTTTGGCCTTCAAGAGAGACAGCTGAACATCTCAAGAAATGGTAAGCCACTATATATATAGCTCATATTTACAACATTCATTTGGCTATAATACTTACTTGGTATTTGTTTTCAATAGGAGTAGAGACAAAAAAAACTTACATAAATGACTTGATGGCTAAGGTTCTGCTAATCCGTGAACCATCTGTTGAGAGGATAATAACTACTATTGGTGAACTTGAGCTGAAAAAGGTTTAGATTCACAAACATTACACTTGTGCCTTGTATTTTCTATTCTAATATATAGCATGTGCATTATTAAATTTGTTATTTTAATACTGCAACTTACTGATGCAATGCAAGAAGAGCGCCTATGGCTTGAAGCAAAAATCGCTGAACCTGATGTGAAGAAAATTATTACCTACATAGGTTGCGACAACTGTGGCCGCCGCTGTGAAGAACTGGTTGGTGAGACCTTCAAATGTTCCAGCTGGCCAAACAAATTCTACACAGCTACTGCTAGGTAACTATGTTCTTGTTATGGCAGTAACAAGCACATGCCTTAATTAAAAAGCTAACTATCATATTGTTTTAGCAGGGTAAACTACACCTTCCCCATAACTGATGGAACAGGGGAATTGAAGCTCACAGCTTTTGGAGCAGAGTGTGAGAAGCTCTTTAGCATGGAACTTGCTGACATACACAGCAAAGTAACTACTGTAAGTAACTCACACACCTAAGACTTACAAGCCTAATACAAAACAAGCTATTAACATACTATAATTTGCTACCTTCCTAGGAATATTGGGATGCCTTTGATGAAGCAGTAGCTAGACTATCAACTAAGGAGGCTTACTTTTGTGTTGAACCAACAAATATTTTGAGCAGGGTGGGGGCTCTGAGGTGGGCTCTCAAATCTGTCTCAATGGAGTAACTAGATGGAAGTTTGCTTAGAAAATGGTGTGATTGTTATCTCATATTCCTCTACTGATCCTTTTGATTTGCACTGCTTGTAACTATTCTACTGCTTAGCTAATAAGTGGTTCTTCTAAAACTATCTTAGCCTAGAATGGATGGTAGATTCATCACATCTGTGAACTTATGCAACTATGGTGTATTCTTGCAAGTCGTTTAGTTGTTATATTTAGGACAAATTTACAAATCTCGGTCATCCATTACCACATTAATCTAAGCTTCTTAACTACCTAATGATTCTATACATTTTCCTCTCACATGCTAGTTTATTTCAAAGATATCTTTTTTTATTACTATTTGTGTTTTCCTATAAAATTAAGCATGCTAGATTAATATAGCTGATAATATAGATTATTGCTTTCTGTTTATCATACTAATCATATAGTTGTGATTTAGTTAATATTTGCTAGAAATATTCTGAACATATGCTTGGAATCTTCTAAACTATTTGCTGGAAATCATCTAAACTATGTGCATTTTAATTTCAAGTTTTTCCAAGGAACTTGATTTAGTGCTATTTTGTAAGGAAAGAAAGATCAGTCGTATTAGGGTCTTTAATTGTGTTTGCAATGATTGATCGAATTTGTGATTTTTTGACTCATTCATTTTGATAGCTATTATGAGTATATTTAGCAGATTTACATAGTAAGTTTACAGCACTTTAGTGCATTAATATTTATATAATGGTACACAATTCACAATTCATAAACTATTTGCTTAAAATTTAGGCAAAAACAGAAGAAAGCAACAGAAACTTAACAACAAATACCACAACTTATAGCTAAAATAGATAGAAATATATATATTTCATTGCCATTGAATTAAAGTACTTACATAATTACCCTGCTTCTTATACTTGAATACTATATATAATCCATACTAATTATCATACAACTTAATAAACCATCAAAAGAAGCAACTACTACTAAGCAAAGATTACAACTTAAACCATCAAAAACAGCAACTACATAACCTAGACTTTCAAACAGATTGAGCAACTTCATTGAAAATGAGCGACATTTAAGGCATACATATCAGAGTCTTCTGCTGAATCGGACGACTAATAACCTTCAGGCACATCAGGACCATCAAAATCTTCCGAACTGTCACCTGAATCTTCAGCATTCTCTTCATCATCAGGCAAATGATTCTCTTCATTCCCTTCCTCTTCATCTTCATCTTCCTCTTCCTCTTCCTCTTCTGAATCTCCCTCCTCCTCTTTGGCTTCTGATTTATCCTCCTCCTCTACCACATCTGCTACATCTTCCTCCTCCACCGCTGCCTTAACCTGTACATCTTCCACGGCCTGGTCAACCTCCATTCCAACAACCTCCTCGCCATGTACTACCTCTCCCACCATAGCAGCGGCAACAACTGCTTCTTCTTCAATTATACTCCTTGTATTTGCTATTCGTGCTTCCACTTGTTGCATCGTAACTCGCATCCTAAATAATACCCTCTCCAGTTCATCCCTACGTTCCTGTAAATTCCTAAGCCTCTCACTCAAAGAAGCTAACTCCTAGCTACGAGAATTGCCAGCAATAGGTTGATAGTTTGATGCTTGTGAAGAAGATGAAGAGGCGCCATTATTGTTTGCCATTATTTTGAACAAGAGAAATTCAGAAGAAAAGATAAAAGGAAGAAGAAGCAAAAGAATCTTTCAAAAATTAAAAGACAAGAGATAGAAATATTGTCTCTTATGGACTAGGCATTAATTATAAGAAGATGCAAAGGCCTATTCTAGCTCTATTTGAGAAAGATACACTTTGCAAGGTTCATTTTATCAGAAAGAGTACTTATAACAATAATATACTATAAAAGGTCCTTTTCCAAAAACAACCTTTTTATAGTTCAGACAAATTTTTATTCCATTGTATTTTCAATGTACATGCCATTTATAGAATGATCATAAAATGTTTCTCTTTTTTTTTTCTTTCTTTTTTTTTTTTTTTGGAAAAAGTTTAAAAATTTAACTTTAGTCTTTTTTTTTAATATATATCAATAAAATATTATCACACCACACTACCACACACCACCACACCAAAATATTTTAAATAAAAAAATTAAAGATAAATTTTTTTTAAATAATTAAAGATTTGCTTTGCTTGTAACTACTTCAGTCAAGCCATGAAATTAAGAAATTGGATTTTATTGATAAATGCAACTCACATTACAATTGAAACACGAATCCAAACCAAGATATCACAATTTCGCCCAAACGACGTTTCCCAACAAAATAAGTGAAGCAATTATGAGCATAAACATCACAAGTTCACTCAATGCAAATTCACATACAATATTATCATGTTGAAATTCACTTAATTGCTCTATTTGTATTCTATACCCCAATTCCCTAATAATTAATTTATTAACTTTGTATTATTTTTAAATAAAACAAAAGTAGAAGCTGCAACCATCCAGAGTAAAGAAAGCAGCAGATACCTCTCTTCTAAACTGATTAAACGAGCCCCATCAAGACTATAGGGTGACTCAGATGTTGCTGCTATAAGTACCATCAATTCACTACTAAACACTCATATACCAATCTCAATTCTCATAACAACTTACAAATACAAAAATGGCAGCCAAGGGTAAGGGAAAGCTTCTTTGTTGAACCGAAATCACGCTCATCAGAAAAACTAACATTGAAATTAATGGAAGAAAGAATTGATGCACTTGCAAGAAAAGTAGAAGAGCTAGAGCACAAATTACAGAACCTTCAAGCAACCACCTCAAGGGATATTTCTAAGCTAGAATGAAAGCAAATGCCACCAAAGAAGCGTCGCTTTATCCTCAGTTCAGAATCAGACAAGGAACAAACATTAAGCTATTCCGACAACAATGACTTCCAACGGCTCAGTTTTGACTCCAAGGGAACCAACCATAGCAGTGACCCAGACTACAATGCTGATGATGATAGTGCATCTTCCAACCAGGACACCTCCAACGCATCATCTGAACAAGAACAAGACTACTCAGATAGCAGCAATGGTTCAAACAGTAGTGACTCTTACTACTAGAAGATGATGCAGCCAAGACAACCTCCTAAGCTATAACAACTTAAAAAAATTATTAAATGAAGTCAAGCAAAACTATAGCTACTTTTAATGTACTATATAGCAGTAGGTTGTATTGTGTCAATATATGGCACTAGAACTAATTTTAGTGTATTGTCTATCATTAAGTAATATTGTGTGAATGTATGGCAACTTTAGGAAGTACATGTATGGTGTTACTCTTATTATATAATTAATATTAATTTTATATAATTTACTCTGTTAAGTTCTGATCTTACTTAACTACTTAAGAGTGACCAGCAAGTCTTGATTGGTTGTTAATTATAAAATATACAAGTAATACAATTGTATCACGACAAGTATAATGTGTTGTTTGCTACTACGATTAGCGTAATTTTTATCCATGGAGTCCAAAAGTGCCTTAGGTTCTTAGTACTACTGCTTTTTTACGCCAAGCAAGAAAATGCTAATTCTGTAATCTTCCCTAACATATCCATATCAAACCAATATCTTTGTTTAGGGGCCGAGTTGTTGTCAATTCTCACTATGATTAAGGCTTCTAAGCTGCTTGTTCAATTTCTTTTGTTTTCTATTGTACAAAGAGATTAGTAATCTGGGCCTATAGTCCAACTAAAAAGTAATTCAAGTGGCTACCCTTAAGGCCCAAAACTTAGTATGCTACACTAACTCTATTTGTTAACAATGAATTTTAATTTAGCTAATGAAATAGCCAAAGGAATTAGATAAATTTCCTTTAAATTAAGCTTCATGTTATTTGCTATTATTAGGATTAATTTATATATTACTATTACCGGGATTAATCAATGGATCATGGAAAGTTTTGTTTCAATAAGTTTTGTTAGAGATGTGATTTATGATAGTTTAACAAAAATGGTAACTCTAACTATTGTTTATCACTCATAACTCTTGTTCAAAATTAATCTATCCCAACATAAGTATGTAAACCTTTAGTGTCAAATGGTATTAATTAATAATATGGGCTTAAAATTCAACTAAAAAGTAATTCAAGTTGCTACAATGCTACCCTTAAGGCCGGCAACTTAGTAGAATAGTCCATCAACAAATAGCACACACATTCTATAAGTAGTAGTCTACTTAAGAAATTAACATAAAATTAAACCAACTTAGTTTTATAAAAAAAAAATGTATATACACTAACTTAATTATTATGCAATTCTATTTATGGATACAATTCTATTAATCAACATATGCAATCACTTGTTGAGCACCAATTTGTAAGTGTAATTGTGGGCCATTAAACCAAAATATGATCTTAGATTCAAAGTAGCCCAAACCATTTGTAAACCACATTAAAATTCTAGGCCTTTACCCAATTTTAAAGACTACACTACATCTACCAAAGAGTTTATAACTTCAACTTTTATTATCTTCTAGCTATAAATACTCAAGTAAACCGACTTAGTTATTACTCTTACACATATATTATACATTTAACTCCATGTAAATATATGTACAATGAGTTATTTTGGTTAAATACTATTTATCAACATATACATTCACTCATTAATGTACATTTATTCATTATTACACTTAATTAGCCTTGAAAAAACCACACTTCCGGCCATGCTCACTAGCAACACCACACTACTTCGCGCACAACGCGCGAGCGAGGCCACCCTAGTATGAAAAAATATGTATTCTTCAACATAAAAGTGAAGTTTCAAGGATTTTATCATTGTAAAATTATACATTATTTGATCAAATAATAAAATTTTATTGATTTTTTTTTTGCACCTACAAGGGCATGTTCAGTTTAGCTTAATTCAGTTCAATTCAGCTCCAATCACTTCAGTTCAGTTTAGGTCCAATCAATTCAGTTCAGTTTAGTTCAACTCCTAATTTCCTTCTCTCATCAAATATTCATTTCATCACTATTTAGTTTAGTTCAGCCCTAATCTGTTCAATTCATTTCAGTTCATTTCAGCTCCAATCAGTTCAGTTCAATTCAGCTCATCTCAGTAAATATGAATAGGCCGGCCCTAATTATGATTTAGAATCTTCCACTACAAAGTACTTCAATACGAAACAGGTTGGAATATAATGGAGAGAAATTTAGGTTTGTTGAAAGGAAGGTGAGCGATTTTTAATAGGCCTTAATTTTTTCAACCTACACGCACAGTTGCTTTGTTATTTCAACTTGCACGCACAGTCGC